ACACACACACACTCCTGCAGCACACACACAGGTGAGACGCAGCTCACACACACACACTCCTGAAGCACACACACAGGTGAGACGCAGCTCACACACACACACACTCCTGCAGCACACACTGGTGTGAGACGCAGCTCACTCACGCGCACACACACACACACACTCCTGCAGCACACACACAGGTGAGATACAGCTCACTCTCACACACACACACACTCTTGCAGCACACACACCGGTGAGACGCAACACACACACACTCCTGCAGCACACACACAGGTGAGACGCACGTGAGTGAGCGAGTGAGTGAGTGAGTGAGTGAGTGAGTGTATGTGTGTGTGTGTGTGTGAGAGAGTGTGTTTACTGACTCCAGTCTCCCATCCCTGTCTGTCTGTGATGATGATCAGCAGAGACTATTTGCTTTCTGATGGCCTTGATGAAATTGTGCGTCTGCTGGATGTTGTGTAAGTCGAGGCTGCTGTTTGCGCGGGGGAGTCTCGTTTGATCTACAGTGCGTTCTCATGCCACATCTGCAGGTTTCCTAACGTGTGTTGTCTTTAGGGAGTTTGTGTTGGAACAGAATACGGTTATAGTTTGATTGCGAATGCTTAACCAGTGACATTATTCTAAAGAGAAATATGTTTGTCTTTGTAATTTCTTAACCAGTGTAATTTTAGTTTAGTTTATATACTATTATAGTATATATTAAAATTTTGGATTAGCTTTTATTTTCACTTTTCATTTTAACTTTATTTTAAGTTTTAGTAATTTGACGTGCTTTTGTTATTTATGCGAGTAATATAAAAGATAAATAGAAATAATTGTAAAAAATATAATTAAATTAAAATATTAAATAATGAGTAAAGAAAAATTATAAAATCTAATTAGCTTAATTTTTTAATATAGTTTAGTTCGTAAAATACTTTGAAATTCTTAAAAAAAAAATAGTATTTAGCTTTATATTAAATATTTGTATTAATGTTTATTTCTGTTTAGTTTGAATAGTTTTTGTACATCTTAAACTTATTTTTCCAGTTACTGAAATTATTTTCAGTTACTAATTTTTCAGTACTAAAATTAAACTCAAAAATGAATTTAAAAAAATTCTGTTTAATTTTAGATTTTTTTTGGTTTGTTCTATATGAGTAATTTTAGTACTTCATCTTAAAAACATATTTCAGTTAGTTCCCATTTCATCTCAATTAAATTTTTTTTAATAATAGTTTTTCATCTGATATTTGTTATTTTATTTCAGCTATATTTAAAAGTTTTTAGTTAACAGCACTGCAATAACTGGTAATAGCTCTGCCTTGAACGGCTTTTCTTGTTCATATCATGTATTGGGTGAGGTTAACCAGTAATCCAGCAGTTATTTAGGTGTTGTGTGTTGTAATGTGTGTTCAGGGGCCCTACGGATCCACAGCTCCTCCTCAGATGCAGCAGATGATGCCCCGTCTCTTCACTCCTCAGTCGCGGCCCGATCCTGCCGCTCCTGCTGGAGCTCCACCGTCGAGCCTCAGACCCTGTGTCTACCCACAACACCCTGCCACAGCTCCGGGTACCTGTCAATCAAACACCATTCATAATATCAGAATCAGAATGAGCTTTATTGCCAGGTATGTTTACACATACGAGGAATTTGTTTTCGTGACAGAAGCTTCCACAGTGTAACAGAATGACAGTGACAGAACCAAAAACACAGAAAATAAAATATAAAAAAAAATAGAACAAGTAAATAAGGAATAAAAATATATAAATCGACAATTGTATGTGCAGGTTTATTACATTAGACAGTTTTTGTATGTACAGGTACTGTATATTATGTGCAAATTTGAGGTGTAGACTACTGAGTATGAGTGTTAGATAACCAGTCATTCAAACACTGATGTGCACACTACTGTACTGAGGCTCCTCTGCTCACCAAAGCTGCGTTGATTTGATCCAAAATACGGTACAAAATTGTGAAATATTTTTACAATTTAAAACAGCTGTTTTGCATGTTAATGGCTGTTAAAATGTAATTTATTGCTGTGATCAAAGCTGATTTTTTTTTTTTTTGAGTCGCACATCCAATCAAAGTATTCAAGAGTTATGTCACCTTATATGGATAGGAAAGAAATATAATTGTTGACTATAAGGTGTAAGTAAGATTTGTCTAGCTGTCTGGTTTCAGTTCCTCAGCAGAAATAGCATCAGCACCGTGTGTAAAAGAGAAAGTACATGTGTGCATCTGTTTGAGAGATAAAAGGACAGAGTGAAGCCTTGAAATAATATTAACACAGACGCAACTATAAAATGTAACGTAAATATTTTAAAAGTATAATTGTTGCCCGAATTTTTTTTGCTGATGACTGGTTGTTCTAGAAATCAACTTTTGGTGCTGAATAATCAGCAAAACTGATCAATCGGTCGACCTTCAGAAATCATTATAATATGCTGTATATTAATGCATGTCTCAAAGTAATGTTACCCAAAGGAATAATAATAATAATAAGGAATGTTGTACACCGAAGATATTTTTTCATCCGTGTTTTAGTTTAAACCGTTCTGTTGTGCTGCATCTTATTCGACCAAAAATAAAAATGCAATGTTTTGTTGTAAATTAATCAAAACAAATAATCCATGTTTTGTCTGTCACGTACACAACCATAGACAGCATGACATTCAGTGTAATGCTTTTTATGACCACTCTGTTGCATAAAAATAAACACCGGTAAAACATTTAAAGGTTAAAGAACAAAGCTAGAATATAGGAATAAACAAATTTACAATATAATACAAAATTAAAATTGTGCAAATAAATAGCCGTATAAATAAATATACAATACAGTGCAGATGTAATTGTTATTTTTTCATTCCTTCATATTTTCAAGATTAAATTGTTAACATTTGATTAATTAATTTTATTAGACAGCATTTTAATGATGCATTTGTATTAAATCGTAAAATGCAGAATCTAGAAAAAATAAAACGGAAAACACAGAATTTAGAGAAATTAAAAAGTAAATGTTATGTTTACATTCGTTCTCAAAATGTAACAAAACATGTAGAAGCATTTCCTTCCCCGTTAATGAATATCATGATAAATATTGATATCTTATGATAGTCCAGCCAAAATTTATTCAGACATCTTCAACATTTCTCACATTATCAGTTTATTTGCTATAGTTTAGCAAATTGTAATAAAATATGACAAGAACTAGTTTGAGAACAAATTCATGTTGATAATGTCAGATAAATTATAGAAAAATCACGCAAGCAAAACATATCAGTTTATTTTATTTTGCTATCCTCACTTACATAAATGAACTATAGTGTCCTGCACCCAGTAGTAAAAACATATCAGAAATTATATCTGCTGTCTGAATAATTTTTGGTTTGACTATGTAAAAAAAAAAAAAAAAAAAAAAAATTGTGCTTTTAATATTTTTGGCCATATCACCCAGCCCTACCCCATTTTTTGAACAGTAGTGTATTATCAGCAAACAAATGTATTTGATAAAGCCGTCTGCCTGTGATGTTTGGTTCCTGCAGGTTTTGCGCCGTCTCAGCCGTTTGCTCAGTCTGGTTCTTTCGGAGCTCCAGTGGGTTTCATGTCCGGCCCCTCGATGTCCGGCCCCTCGATGTCGGGGCCCTCAGTACCGCCCTCCTCGCCCCCGGGCCCCATGATGCCCCCTCCGCCCGGCCCAGGGTTCCTCTCACCCACGTCTCTGCCCTCGTTTCCAGCGGCTCCTCCCGGCGGGGCCTATCTTCCTCTTGGAGCCGGGTATCCTCAGGGCGGCCCCGGAGCCCCAGGGGCCAAGATCTTCAGCGGCGCCGGTGTCCCGCCTCCACTGACAGGTACCTGCAGACGTCTGGAGGAACCGCTGAACACAGCCGTGTCTCATATGTGTATTTATATTCATCCTGCTGTTTGATTTCCAGGATATTTCCCATGGCTGGTGTGCCACACAGAAGAGGAAGGTGACAGGGAGAGAGTGTGTTTGAGTGCGTGTTTGAGTGCGTGTTTGAGTGAGTTGAGTGAGTGTGTGTTTGAGTGAGTTGAGTGAGTGTGTGTTTGAGTGAGTGTGTATTTGAGTGAGGGAGTGTGTGTTTGAGTGAGTGAGTGTGTGTTTGAGTCAGTTGAGTGAGTGTGTGTTTGAGTGAGTGTGTGTGTGTGTTTGAGTGAGTGTGTGTGTTTGAGTGAGTGAGTGAGTGTGTGTTTGAGTGAGTGTGTATTTGAGTGAGGGAGTGTGTGTTTGAGTGAGTGAGTGTGTGTTTGAGTCAGTTGAGTGAGTGTGTGTTTGAGTGAGTGAGTGTGTGTTGGAGTGAGTGAGTGTGTGTTTGCGTGAGGGTGTGTGTGTGTTTGGGTGAGTGTGTGTGTATGAGTGAGTGGGTGAGTGTGTGTTTGAGTGAGGGAGTGCGTGTTTGAGTGAGGGAGTGCGTGTTTGAGTGAGGGAGTGCGTGTTTGAGTGAGGGAGTGCGTGTTTGAGTGAGGGAGTGCGTGTTTGAGTGAGGGAGTGCGTGTTTGAGTGAGGGAGTGCGTGTTTGAGTGAGGGAGTGCGTGTTTGAGTGAGGGAGTGCGTGTTTGAGTGAGGGAGTGCGTGTTTGAGTGAGGGAGTGCGTGTTTGAGTGAGGGAGTGCGTGTTTGAGTGAGGGAGTGCGTGTTTGAGTGAGGGAGTGCGTGTTTGAGTGAGGGAGTGCGTGTTTGAGTGAGGGAGTGCGTGTTTGAGTGAGGGAGTGCGTGTTTGAGTGAGGGAGTGCGTGTTTGAGTGAGGGAGTGCGTGTTTGAGTGAGGGAGTGCGTGTTTGAGTGAGGGAGTGCGTGTTTGAGTGAGGGAGTGCGTGTTTGAGTGAGGGAGTGCGTGTTTGAGTGAGGGAGTGCGTGTTTGAGTGAGGGAGTGCGTGTTTGAGTGAGGGAGTGCGTGTTTGAGTGAGGGAGTGCGTGTTTGAGTGAGGGAGTGCGTGTTTGAGTGAGGGAGTGCGTGTTTGAGTGAGGGAGTGCGTGTTTGAGTGAGGGAGTGCGTGTTTGAGTGAGGGAGTGCGTGTTTGAGTGAGGGAGTGCGTGTTTGAGTGAGGGAGTGCGTGTTTGAGTGAGGGAGTGCGTGTTTGAGTGAGGGAGTGCGTGTTTGAGTGAGGGAGTGCGTGTTTGAGTGAGGGAGTGCGTGTTTGAGTGAGGGAGTGCGTGTTTGAGTGAGGGAGTGCGTGTTTGAGTGAGGGAGTGCGTGTTTGAGTGAGGGAGTGCGTGTTTGAGTGAGGGAGTGCGTGTTTGAGTGAGGGAGTGCGTGTTTGAGTGAGGGAGTGCGTGTTTGAGTGAGGGAGTGCGTGTTTGAGTGAGGGAGTGCGTGTTTGAGTGAGGGAGTGCGTGTTTGAGTGAGGGAGTGCGTGTTTGAGTGAGGGAGTGCGTGTTTGAGTGAGGGAGTGCGTGTTTGAGTGAGGGAGTGCGTGTTTGAGTGAGGGAGTGCGTGTTTGAGTGAGGGAGTGCGTGTTTGAGTGAGGGAGTGCGTGTTTGAGTGAGGGAGTGCGTGTTTGAGTGAGGGAGTGCGTGTTTGAGTGAGGGAGTGCGTGTTTGAGTGAGGGAGTGCGTGTTTGAGTGAGGGAGTGCGTGTTTGAGTGAGGGAGTGCGTGTTTGAGTGAGGGAGTGCGTGTTTGAGTGAGGGAGTGCGTGTTTGAGTGAGGGAGTGCGTGTTTGAGTGAGGGAGTGCGTGTTTGAGTGAGTTGAGTGCGTGTTTGAGTGAGGGAGTGTGTGTTTGAGTGAGTTGAGGGAGTGTGTGTTTGAGTGAGTGAGTGAGTGTGTTTGTGTGTGTGCGCGAGTGTGAGTGTGTTTATTAGGGCTGCCCTCGACTAAGGATTTTTCTGGTCGACTAGTAGTCGTTTATTTTAAGCATTAGTCGACTAATCGCACGTTTATTCATAAAAAATCTAAATCATCATAATGCGCCTTTAATTGCCTACACAGCCTTATAAGCGCTCAAGCACACGCATAAAGCTTGCCACAGCGCACCGGCAGAAGTAATGATTATGAATGTGTCAGGGAAAAACAGTAAGAAGGCTTATTAACATTTTAATAATATATTGATAAACAAGTGCTTTCTTCGTTTTCGGCTTTAGAGATGAATTCGGCGACACTAACTCATCTCCGCAGTAGTGTTTCATACGGATTACATGATCTGAGAATATTTGGTTTCCATTTGATTTGGTTCATCTGAAAGTAGACATTTCGCTTTCTATAGATGAGTTTTCATATCAGTAAGGCACGCATACACAGAGTTTCGGAGTTTCGCGCTCGAGTTCACAGAGACCGAGACGGCAGAAAGCGCATCCTGTTTGCTTTCATTATTTTACAAAAGCACAATGTTTTGTTGTTATAGTGAGTGCACACAAATAGACGTAGAGTCTTTACAGATTCGAAAGATGTATTACTCTTATCTGTATGAGCAAAAATAAGGGAGTATTTTAAGAGCAGTCCTGCTATAGCGCACATTTCTCTAGGTTAACATTAGATTGAGCGGCCATGTAAAGTTGCTAATACTGACATATTTCAGATGATAAGCCATATTTGATGTCCAAGAATGATAGGCGAGCATTTGGATGTCCTTCCTGATGTTCTGTATTATTACCACAGACCAGTCGCTAACGATCTGTGTGACTTCGCCAATGTGGATTTTTATTATTTTATTTTTTTATTTTTTCTGCAACTATTAAAATTTGGTCGACCAGGCCTCTTCTCGTCGACTAACGGTTAGTAAACTATTAGGGGGCAGCCCTAGTGTCTGTGTGTCTGTGTCTGTGTCTGTGTGTGTGTGTGTGTGTGTGTTTAAGAGGGACAGCAACAGTCCAAACTCAGCTCTTCTAATATTTAATGCTGACTGATTACGAGTCATTTGCATATTCGCACACTGATCATGTTTTGCTTCCTATGTGATCTCTCTGAGCTTCATTGTTAATGTTTGTGTGATCACTCAATGCTGATTAAAACTATGCTGTGTGAGTTTTGCATTATATAAACAGACTAAGAAATGTCTACACTAATGTTTCAAAGTTTGGGGTCGGTAAGATTTGAAAAAAATCCTCTTCTGGTCATCAAGGCTGCATTTATTTGCTCAAAAATACAGAAAAGTAAAAATTATTGACGATTTGTATATATATATATAATATTTATATTGTTTTGTATAAAATATTTTTTATAAAAAAAAGTAAATATTTTAAATCATAAATATTCAAAAATATTTATAAATAAATATTTTATTTAAAAAAAATGTGAAATATTATTACAATTTCAAATAGCTGTTTTCTATGTGAGTATCTGTTAAACTGTAATGTATTTCTGTGATGCGCAGCTGTATTTTCAGCATCATTACTCCAGTCTTCAGTGTCACATGATCTTCAGAAATCAGTATAATATGCTGATCTGCTGCTCGAGAAACATTTCTGATTATTATCAATGTTGAAAACAGTCGTGCTGCACAATATTTTTGTGGATTCACAGATGAATAGGAAGTTCAGAAGAACAGCATTTATTTGAAATAGAAATCTTTTGTATTATAAATCTAGCTGAATCTGACTGACCCCTAAACCTTTGAATGCTAGTGTAAGTCAGACTGAAAGAGAAGCTACAGAGACACTTAAATCACCCTCACAAACGTCTGTAAAGATGCAGTGACATTCAGACATTTCTAACTGTGACTTGAGTGTCCAGATATGTTTATCTGCTGCTGTATCAATGCATGCATTTATATTTAAATGCAGATATGTGTTTTGCTGACTGATTGTGTGAATATTGTCTCTTCAGTTCGGGACGGGTGGAACGACCCTCCAGCTGTACGCGCAGGACAACGCAAGAAAAAGGTATTTGGAATTTGCATAATGATGTTACTTATAATAATGCATTTATCGGGAAACAATATCCACTGACATGATGCTGGAGCTGCTTCTCAATCTGGCCTCGTTATGCATGTTTCTATTTAATAAACATTCACATTTGTGCATTTGATAGATGCTTTAATCTAAAGCAACTCACACTCCATTTAAGATGTTCATATGAGTTCATGCATTCCCTGGGAATCGAACCCATGACTTAGGTGTTGCAAGCACCATGATCTACTGTCTAAGCTTCAGTTAGAAATATGAGTGCTACTTTATTTCATCTATCTGCAATAAAATTATTTTATTTACAAATATTGCATGCAGTTGCATTTATCATATTAAATGTCATATCAAATACAATAGATGAATATTTACAAATATTGCATGCATTTGCATGAAATATTATGAATTTTTATTGTTATATTTTAAAATAACTGCTATTTGTTATTAAATTCTATGATTGCAGAAAAATCCTAAATTAAATTACTTTAAAGGTTAAAATATTTTCTCAAAAAATAAAACATGCGAACAGTGCACAATGTACTATTTATGAAAATGGACAGGTTATATATTACATCATTGTTCAGCTCTCAGGTGGAAACATGGTCTGACTGTATGCTCAGTGTCATTGGACTGAACACTGTGTGTGTCTGTGTGCGCATGTGTCTGTGTGTGCGCGTGTCTGTGTGTGCGCGTGTCTGTACGTGTGTGCGCGCGTGTGTCTGTACGTGTGTGCGCGTGTGTCTGTACACTGTGTGTGTGTCTGTGTGCGCATGTGTCTGTGTGTGCGCATGTGTCTGTGTGTGCGCGTGTCTGTACGTGTGCGCGCGTGTGTCTGTACGTGTGTGCGCGCGTGTGTCTGTACGTGTGTGCGCGCGTGTGTCTGTGCGTGTGTGCGCGTGTGTGTGTGCATGTCTGTGTTCGTGTGTGCGCATGTGTCTATGTGCGCGTGTGTGTGTGCGTGTTCGTGCGTGTATATGTGTGTGTTGTTCAGCTGCCAGAGAACTACACTCCCCCTGCTCCGATCACAGCCGTGTCTGTACGTGTGTGTACGTGTGTGTCTGTACGTGTGTGCGTGTGTCTGTGTACGTGTGTGTCTGTACGTGTGTGCGCGTGTCTACATGTGTGTGCGTGTCTGTGTACATGTGTGTCTGTGCGTGTGTGTCTGTGTGTACGTGTGTCTGTACGTGTGTGTGTGCGCGTGTCTGTACGTGTGTGCGCGTGTGTGTGTGCATGTCTGTGTTCGTGTGTGCGCATGTGTCTATGTGCGCGTGTGTGTGTGCGTGTTCGTGCGTGTATATGTGTGTGTTGTTCAGCTGCCAGAGAACTACACTCCCCCTGCTCCGATCACAGCACCGGTGATGGGTTTCCCGATGGAGGCTCCTGTTCCTCAGGATCGGATCCAGGTGCCACCCGGAGCCCCTCAGGAGCCCAGCGTGCAGGTCAGAGGTCGTCATGCCAGAGCCTGTCAGATGAGCTTGTGTTTTTCATCATATTAACAGTGTGTGTGTGTTGTAGTCCTTACAGCAGCTTCCTGCTGAGCACGTGGAGCAGAAGGAAATCCCTGCCGAACACATGATCCTCAAGACCACCTTCAGCAGCCTGGTGCAGCGCTGTCAGCTGGCCGCCGCAGACCCGGTAACACACACACGCACACACACACGAGACACATTGCATACACGGCTGCCAAGAGCTTTCTCAATCTGGCAAGCTCTAATCTAATTTGCTGTCTTTATGTAACCGTCTGGAATTGTTGCACAGGTTCATATCTGGCGACAGAGACGGGGTCGTGTTTACAAAGTACAATCTAGTGCAATAGAATTTGCCAAAGTTTGCCAAGTTAGTTGCATCATGTAAAGTACATTTGCTAAGTAGGCTGCATCCCGCTCCTGCCAGTGTCAGGGTTGCCAGGTCCCAGAAAAATGTCCAGTCCAAAGCCTTCTCAAAACCTGCACAAAAGCAAAGAAAACTAGCCTAATTTCCCCGTCCAATCACAGCTGAGGAATTTCCATAAAGTGTATCAAAATAAACATTTTGATTTTATTTAATCTGTTTTAAATCTTATTTGGGTGAATTTAGCTATACTTGTTGTTTAATTAGTATGTGCATAGATCATTATCTAATCTGTATTTTACTCCTCTTTAGTTACTCAGTCTTTTTTCTTTTTTGGTACTTTCAATTATTTTACACTTTGATTTAAATTTTCAGCACTTTGCATGATAATAGTTTTTTTTTTAATGTGAGCTATAGATATGAATAACTGACACAATGTGAAAGGCATGCATATTTGTAAAAAGGTGTTTTTAATTTTTCTTTGTCTACAGATCAACATTTTTTTAAATATTTGAGTGGATAAAAACAATGTTTAATTTTGTAATTTTTTTTTTTTACAGATAATTAGATCTACAATTCTGAATTGAAATAAAGTGCAACAATTACATTTATTTGAATGAATTTGGTGGAATCTGGTTGTTTTAGTTCCATACTTATTAAATTTTTATTTAAAAAAAAATTCAATATTCAATTAAAGAAATATTAATACCCATTTATTACCATTATTTATGCATGTTGAATCAATATATTTCTTGTAATGTCTATTCAGTGCTTTTCTCATTTAAAACAATAATGACTTTAAAGGATCTTTACATTTACATTACATTTAGTCTTTTATTCAAAGCGACTTACAAATGGAAGCAATCAGAATCAACAAAAGAGCAATGATATGCAAGTGTTATAACAAGTCTCAGGTAGCTTAATGCAGTACACGTAGCAAGCTAGTGTTAGTTTGTTGTTTTTTTAAGAAAAATAAGCAGTTAGTGAGTGAATAAAGTGCAAGTCTAAAAGGTAATGCAAGTAATTTTTTTAAAGAATAGAATTAGAATAGAGAGTTAGATGCTAGAGTTAGAGGGTCAAATAAAGATGGAAGAGATGTGTTTTTAGCCGATTCTTGAAGATGGTTAAGGGCTGCTGGGATTGAGTTGGGCAGGTCACTCCACCAGGAGGGAACAGTTAATGTAAAAGTCTGTGAAAGTGATTTTGTGCCTCTTTCACTTGCAAAACGCAAGGTTCTAGAGGGCACGTAACTCTGAAGTAATGAATTTAGGTAAAGGAGTGCAGAGCCAGTGGTGGTTTTGTAGGCAAACATTAATGCCTTGAATTTAATGCGAGCAGCTACTGGTAGCCAGTGCAAATTCATAAACCGAGGTGTGACGTGCATTCTTTTCGGCTCATTAAAGATGAATCTTGCTGCCGTGTTCTGGATTAATTGCAAAGGTTTGATAGAACTGGCTGGAAGACCTGCCAAGAGAGCATTGCAATAGTCCAGCCTGGACAGAACAAGAGCTTGTGAAGCATGTTCCGAAAGAAAGGGCCTGATCTTCTTGATGTTGAATAAAGCAAATCTGCAGGACCGGACAGTTTTAGCAATGTGGCCTGAGAAAGTCAGCTTATCGTCAATCACAACTCCAAGGTTTCTGGCTGTTTTTGAAGGCGTTATGGTTGATGAGCCTAACCAGATGGTGAAATTGTGATGAAACGATGGGTTTGTTGAAACCACAAGCAGTTCTGTCTTGGCAAGGTTGAGTTGAAGGTGATGGTCCGTCATCCAACAAGAAATGTCTGTTAGACATGCTGAGATGTGAGCAGCTATCGTCGGATCATCAGGATTGAATGAGAGGTAGAGTAGAGTGTCATCAGCATAGCAGTGATATGAAAAGCCATGTTTCTGAATGACAGAACCTAGTGATGCCATGTAGACAGAGAAGAGAAGTGGTCCAAGAACTGAGCCCTGAGGCATCCCAGTAGCTAGATGCTGCGACTTGGACACCTCACCTCTCCAAGATACCCTGAAGGACCTATCTGAGAGGTAAGACTCAAACCACTAGAGTGAGGTTCCTGAGATGCCCTTTGCCAATAGAGTTGACAGGAGAATCTGGTGGTTAACCGGGTCAAAAGCAGCGGACAGATCCAGCAAGATAAGTATTGAAGATTTGGAATATGCTCTTGCCAGTCTTAGGGCTTCTACAACTGAGAGCAAAGCCGTCTCGGTTGAATATCCACTTCTGAAGCCAGACTGGTTGCAGTCCAGGAGGTTGTTCTGTGTGAGAAAGGCAGAGACTTTGTTGAACACAACTCGTTCAAGTGTTTTTGCAATGAAAGGAAGAAGGGAAACCGCTCTGTAGTTCTCTAAAAGAGATGGGTTAAGGTTAATCTTTATGGGGGTAATTTCTCAGCCTAAACTGATGCCTGATTAATTTGTGATAAATTCATTCATTCATTAAATTAATTAAAGCCACAATAAAAGAAGCAGTTAGTTTTTGTGCAAGCAATATATTTGTTTTATTCTTTTAATAATAATAATAAATACAACTTTTTAAAAAAAATCAAATCAAAATCAGGGATGTCCAGAATATCTATCTGATTTAAAACCACATTTGGAAGAGGTTCATAATGGTTGCGAAAAATCAGGACTTTGTTTCTACACATGTGCAACCAATCTTCATCTGAAAAATCTGATGCCAATGTAAATAAAGCCGCAAACAGTCTCTTCTTATGTAAGTGGGCAGATTTCTGACCAGAATAAGCTGCGAAGTGAACTGGACTTATTTATTTCATATATGTGTCCCACCGCTTTCCACTGCTGGTGTTCTTCTCATGTGTTTGGGATTCTCTTTCCATGCAGCAGGCCTTATTCATCCCACAACATTGTTCATAAACCCATTATTGCATAAATTGCAATGAATTAAATTCACTGGATTGTCTAAAACAGGCCTTAAAACAAGCAGAACTCATTTGTGCAAGCTGTCGCATTTAATTCATTGTGAAAACATGGAAACTTTGTCATGAAACGCAAGCAGAACGACTTTCTGTGCATCATTTTTCATAACCATTGTTGCATAAATTGCGTTGAATTGAATGCAATGGTTTACCTAAAAATAGGTCTTGAAACAAGCAGAAGCAATTTGTATAAATTATTGCATTCAGTTCAAAGTAAGATCGGGCTTTTTTTGTGAAACACAAGCAGAATGATTTTCTGTGCATAATTGTGCATTAAAAAAACATTTCATAAAATGTGTTGAACTGAATGCAACTGTTTGTCTAAGAATAAAAAATGAGAAAAAAAAGTTAAATAATTCTTGCATAAATTGCTGCATTTAATTCAGTGTGAGAATCTACACAAGCAGAATTACTTTGTGCATAATTGTTCATTAAAAAAATTATTGCATTGAATTGAATGCCATATTTTGCCTAAAAATGGCCCTTAAAATAAACGGAACAAATTCATGTAAATTAGCATGCAAATTATCGCAATCAGTTCAGTCTACACAAGCAGAACGATTTTCTGTGCGTAGTTTGTGAAGCCATTATTGGGTAAATTGTGTTGAAATGAATGCAAAAAATTAGTTGCATTCAGTTCAATGTAAGAATGTGATCGTCGTGAACTATTTCCGCACAGATTCGTTCTGAATGCATTTCATGAATGAGAATTTTTTAATATTACAAGAGCAGAAAGTTTTGAGGCTGTGTAGTTTATTCATCGTGATGCTTGTTAGTGGACGAGGTTCATTACTGACTGACTGACTGTTGGATTCCATGTTTTTGACTGGATTTGGTTTGTGTGAAGGCTTGTTTTCTGTTGCACTCGCTCATAGAGAGGCTGATGCTGGCGATAACACTCCTGTAGAAATACCAGAGCTTCACTAGATGTTCCTTAAACCATTGCGACAAAGATGAATGGCACTGAAGACTGGGGGCTGAAGTGTGAATGAATCCCTGTCATTCAGGTGTTATTTCACCCCAAAATCAATATCAAGAATTTTTTTTGAAATGTCAAACTCTATTGAATTGTGATTAAACATTAACGGTCCTAAAAAATATACTTATTTATTTAAAAATGTAATTTCGCTTGATTTTTAAGGTGAAATATGACCTAGACGTGTCTGCAGGTTTGTGAGATTCTTCAGTTCTTCAAACTGAATGTAACTGAACAGTTAACCTGAGAAAAGAGTTTCATCTTTTTACATGTTTATGTTCTGGTAATGAACATGTCCTCATCACGGTTGTGCCGTTCTGTGTCCGTGTGCATCATGAAACTAGTTCATTCTGAAGGTTGTGAGTGAAACTCTTACATGCTTGAAAACACTTGAAGTAAAATATACACAACTTTCATAAATGCTCAATGTGTCACAGCTATTTATTTCAACATGCAACTATGCAACTTTTTGACTTTCAATATTCAAGTACATTGTTTCTGTTACTGATCAATATATATGTATATATATTGTATGTATGTAGCCTATATTCTTCAGAACAATGCTTAGTTATTTTGTGTTGGAACAAATCAGTTGGACAAAAATATAAACTTAACTATCAGTTCTTTGCTGATTAGTGAGTAACTTTAGTTCATTTCCCTCCAGTTTATTTAGCTCTTTATTTGGATTTTTCCTTGAAATTGTGTAAATAATCAAGTTTTAACCAGAGCATGTAACAAAGTCTGATATGTGCTTCAGAGACTTCAAAAGATTCAAGAACTCTTACAATTATTTTTAAAAATGCCGCAGAACAGAATGAAATGCAGAATGTGTCAGAAAGTGTAGAAGCTTATTGCTTCAGACTTTATTTCCAGTAAATGATTATGAAACAAGAGTCTTGATTATTACAGGCTGTTATCGCAAACAGGAGCATCATGTTAGTTTTAAGAGCCGAAGGCTTCTTCCAAACAGCATGAGAAATACCACAACCGCTTTTTGGCATCTTGAATCAAGTGTCAAGAGTAAAAGTAAGGCGATCTGTCCTGTGTGAGAGGAACAGGAGTCAAAATACAGTATAAAGTCTTCAAAGAACTACAATCCAAATGGTTTTAAAGTTACCAAACAAATTAATCACAAGCAACTTGTCAAATGAAATCCAAAAATAGCACTGAAAAATCTCTGAAAATACATTGTTTGATTAAACATACAGGTGAACTAGAGCAAAAACCAGCTTGCACCATTCAGATCGCATGCAATGCAATGGTTTTTGGCATCATAATTAACTATTTGACTTACTGTAAATCCACAGATATGTCCATCTGTATTATTTTGCGATAGAAAAAGAGTTCTGTATTAATACAGCATGCTTGCACTAACATGAAAAAGCAGGACTCGAAAGATAAGCATGGTGTTGCACAATTAATTATACAAACCCAGTACTAAATAATCAAGAACCAACGCGGTCCATCATTCTCATGCAGCCTGATTCTCAGATGCCATCTGGATTCTTCAGTGATTATGTCACAATTATTAAATATAAGTCAATGTTACAAAGTGTGTTTAGACATCAAATCGATCTCAATCTGCAGTAGTCCAAAAAAGACTTATATGTCGTATGTGTGCTGTGGTCAAAAGTATAATCACGAATCATTAATGCAGATTCCAACTATTCAAGCATTTCTCCAAATGAACAATTTGTTCAACTGTGGCAACAAAACCGATTGGCAATATTAAATTCTGAAACACTCTAGTCTGTATCTGGTCCAGATGCAGTAAGCTGCAGCTATAGAATATTAAATAGATGTGCATCTCAGTTGCATTTCTACCAAAATGCACAGCTAGATTTAGGAAGGGTGACGGGGTTGCTGGGCACCGTGATTAGCTCCTGCATTGAGCAAACTGGCATGTCAGCTGCATGAGCTCAGACCGGGCTCAAAAACATCTACAGCTGCTGTCGAGAAGAGGAAGCCGGAAAGAAAATCTGAATAAGCTCTACACAAACAGGCCGGATTCCTGTATTAATTAAAGCTTCACTGGCTAGACTGGAAAAAAACAAACAAACAAACAAACATTTGCCATCTGACAGCAAGCTTCAACAGCGTCGCTGGAAGGACCGATTGTCCTTCTGTCTTCAGGTGTGCAGTTGGTTAGGACGGACGGCGCTCGTTAGCCGCTCTGGTGGCTGCCGTCTCCGGTGCGCTGAGCTCGAGCGAGCACGGCCTCTCTGGACACCACCTTGGGCTCTCGGGCCAGACCCAGGAAACACATGAAGTCAATGAAGCAGGTGGTCAGGTTGAGTTTCCAGCCGAACTCGCTGGTGGCGTAGTCGAAGGGAAACGTGTGGTGGTAGTTATGAAAGCCTTCGCCTGAGAAATTAAACCAGGAGGTGATTCATCAATACACAATCTAAGAGAAGCCCAAAGGGTTTTCTTCTATCTTCTATTATCATTTTTAATACATTTCTTGATATGTCATTATATGTGACCCTGGAGCACAGAAGCAGTGTTGAGTCGCTGGGGGACATTTGTAGCAATAGCCAACAATACATTGTATGGGTCAAAATTATACATTTTTCTTTTATGCCAAAAATCATTAGGATATTAAGTAAAGATCATGTTCCATGAAGATATTTTGTAAATCTCCTACCGTAAATATATCAAAACTTAATGTTTGATTAGTAATATGCATTGCTAAGAACTTCATTTGAACAACTTTAAAGATGATTTTCTCAATATTTAGATTTTTTTGCACCCTCAGATTCCAGATTTTCTAATAGTTGTATCTCAGCCAAATATTGTCCGATCCTAACAAACCATACATCAATGGAAAGCTATTTATTCAGCTTTCAGATGATGCATAAATCTCAATTTCACAAAATTGACACTTATGACTGGTTTTGTGCTCCAGGGTCACATACTGTATGTCTTACATATAAAAATGTATATGTAATAGAAATATTATTTCTAATATTTGGCAAAAATATAATTACGTATACACTTCTTAGCATTTCTTATATTTCTACTGCATGTGTGTGTGTGTGTGAAATTAAATATATTTATACATTTCATTACTTTTCAACAAAAATTAAGCATTTATATAGATTTATTTTGTAAATTTTTCCATGATATTTCCCTCAAAATATAATTGTTATTGTATATCATTCAGCATATAATTGTTTTTATACATCAAAAATATAATTAAAATATAATAGAAAAATAAGTAATAAAAATAATAAATAAATCATTAATTTTCTTTAGGGCTGCACAATAAACCGCATGTGATAATCACACGCATCTCGTCAGTAAAGCCGGTTCTGTGATTAGTAGTAAATCTCCATCACGTGCTTTCAGATGGAGCAGCATTTACTACACAGAGCTGTAGTTCACTGACAATAATCGAAGGCGATTCATCGGCGATTATGAACGTGATATTGCGTAGCTTGTCAGTTACTGTTTAAGATGCGTGGAATGGTGCGCTGTGATTGGTTGTTACGGTCTAGAGTGCGTGGAATGGGGCGCTGTGATCGGTTGTTACTGTCTAGAGTGCATGGAATGGTGCGCTGTGATTGGTTGTTCCTGTCTAGAGTGCGTGGAATGGTGCGCTGTGCTTGGTTGTTACTGTCTAGAGTGCATGGAATGGTGCGCTGTGATTGGTTGTTCCTGTCTAGAGTGCGTGGAATGGTGCGCTGTGCTTGGTTGTTACTGTCTAGAGTGCATGGAATGGTGCGCTGTGATTGGTTGTTCCTGTCTAGAGTGCGTGGAATGGTGCGCTGTGCTTGGTTGTTACTGTCTAGAGTGCATGGAATGGTGCGCTGTGATTGGTTGTTCCTGTCTAGAGTGCGTGGAATGGTGCGCTGTGCTTGGTTGTTACTGTCTAGAGTGCATGGAATGGTGCGCTGTGATTGGTTGTTCCTGTCTAGAGTGCGTGGAATGGTGCGCTGTGCTTGGTTGTTACTGTCTAGAGTGCATGGAATGGTGCGCTGTGATTGGTTGTTCCTGTCTAGAGTGCGTGGAATGGTGCGCTGTGATTGGTTGAGCGGATATATCGCATTCTGCAGAGAAGGGAGACTAGCGTTTGTCGCGGTTTGGAAAAAAACATGACAGAATAACTTGGCGGATTTCGCATTTTGCGTACAATTAAAAATTTACTTTTCAATACTGACCAGATACCATACTGATTTTGGCGGGAACTCAAATTTTTTTTTTAAATGGCGTTTATCACGTTTGGGACCAAACTCTTCATATACAGTGGGTACGGAAAGTATTCAGACCCCCTTAAATTTTTCACTCTTTGTTATATTGCAGCCATTTGCTAAAATAATTTAAGTTAATTTTTTTTC